ATATATATATATATACATACATAACACACACTGTATATGTATATGGCTATGTTGAAAAACATATATTTGTTGTTTTCTTTGCCAGAGGATTTGTAATTTTGCTTGACTACTCTTGCGATTTACACACCTTTGCAGCATCGCACAGCGAGGTAACTCACTCTTACTTTCTGGTTCAGCATTTCTACATCACCAGCATTCCTTAATGTGGCCAACATCCAGCCGAAGCTCAGTGGGACACCGGTAAGAGCGTCCCAGGTTGCTAAGAGCTGGGCGGGGAGATGTGTATGGCCCTTACACATCTCTCTGCCCAGCTCTTAGCAACCTAGGACTCTCTGGCCGTAAAGCGTGCAGCAGGCACACTGCAAACAAATGTAACTTTTAGTTTGGCAGTTTGCTACCACTTTAACTGGGCAGTGAGCAGGATGGAGGAGGACAGGTGACACACAAAGCTACATAGCTGAATCAGATAAAAGTGTCACCTGCCTGGGTGTGCAGTGTAACCAACGTGTGTACATTTCAAGTTTAAATGTAGAGAAATACAAATCCTTTGGCAATGTAAACAGTTTACATATATGTATTTCAGCTATGCATTTCTCTGCTTGCCTAGAAATGTGATTAATGCTTTACTGACATCAAAGCTTTTATGCCACGTGATTAATAATTCTTAACTTGTCAGATCAATTTTTCAAATGAACTGCATACTTTTAGATGAGCAGTACTAATTTACTGGGGTAGATTTACTAAAGGCAAATAAGCTGTTCACTGTGCAAGGGAATTTTTACTTTGTAAGAGAATGTTCCTATAGCTTGGGGGACGTTGTGATAATTCACTTTGATAAGAACGCCCACTCACTTGGAAGGAAAATAAAACAAAAAACAGTATTATTGCTTGCACGTGATTGGATGATGGAAGTCAGCAGAGTTTCACCCCATTCACCAAGCTAAGGGAAAAGTCCCTTGCAATGTGAACAGCCTATTTGTTCTATTAATGCAAATGTGTCTAAAAATGTTTTCCGTCATTCAGACCATGAGATACGATCTGGTCATAAATCAAACACAGCTGGAATTCTTCAGATCATGTGTTGATAGCTAAACCTTTAGCATTGTGGGTAGTCCAGGTGATTTAATCTATTTACCATAATTTCATGCATAGGAATTAGGTGTTAGCTAAGTACATACATATAAGTATGACTGTTACTAACCATGCAGCTTATAGAGGAAGGATGTAATTACATTGACTGACATTATACAGCACTGTAAACTGCTAATAGATGGGGTTACAGCCCCAAACCCTCTGCCCCATTTTTATTTTGTTCCAATTTCACAAAGATGGCATTTTTTACACCTTAAGTATTTTGACCACACTTACGAAAGAGCCCTCGGGCCATGCAAAAAAAAAAAATGAAACATAATTCTGTGTTTACAAGTCAGAATTCTGAGATTCAAACTCAGAATTTAAAAAACAGAACTCTGAGATCAAAAGTCAGAATTCCGACTTTCAAACTCAGAATTCTGACTTTTAATATCAGAATTCAGTTTTTACAATTCTGAGTTGGAAACTCAGAATTCTGACTTTTAAACACAGAATTATGTTTCATTTTTTTTTTTGTTGGCATGATCGCAGGGCTCTTCCGTACACACCAGCCACATATGGGATGGCTATGTTATTTCTGCTTTTCTGTTCTATCCTGTGTTTGTCCGAGGATCTTGCTGGATGTTCCTGCAATTTTAATAAAGGCCCACTCTGGATATCCACAGGCTTTCAGTGCTACTCTAAGGTGTATATAATTCTGTCTGTAAAATCATTGTGGGTTGTCACCTTGTGCCTTGCATGCCTCTAATGACCCCCAGATTATATTCTAATAGATGGAAATAATCAAACAGCAAATACTGGGTCTCCTTTACAATTCATAATCTAAGTTTTCACCAACTTTGATGCAAATTACACCGTCAAAAATGAAATGTTGTTGTTTTGCAAGTCTAGCTGGGTGAACGTCATGTTGTTCCCCACACGGCCAGTTGACATGTTAAGTGCAAACAAATTCAAGAATGATCAGCAAGTCCTGTTGTGTTTCATTTACTACTATTAAATACTTATTTCAGAAGTATTTCATACAGCTTTCACCTGTACTTTTTCTGCAAATTCCCACATAGCATTGCTAGACAAGTTCTACTAAAATAGCTTGAGCATTACTTCTTCACACACCCTGCCACTCCTATACAAATCCATCCATACATACGTATGCTGCACATTCTCTATCGTCAGGTCATTCAGTTGAAATTCCTCTTCCTCAAGGTTGTCTGCTTCTTCCAGTAAGCTTGTGTCAAAGCTTACAATAGGTGGCATGCTCGCTGTTGACCTAGATAACATAATTGATGATAAATATGAACTTCAAAAGTGCCAACAGTGAGTTCAACATATTTCCCCATGACCTGTCCTGATCCCAGCCTGGTCTTATTTATTCATCAATTAGCTTAAAAATACCCAAGTGGCAGACCATTAATTTCAACACTATATGACTAACAAGGTTATTTACAAAAAGGTGAAGAGTTTGGAGGAGGCAGGAGTAGTGAACAGTCTAGGACAACATGGCTGATTTGGAAACATTCTCCAATTCAGCTCACTTTCCAGTTCAGCTATGTTGTCCTAGATTGTTCACTTCTCCGGCCTTCTCCAAACTCTTCACCCTTTAGTGAATAACCCTGTTAATGTGCAATTAACGTATTTTAGGCATGTTATTTACCTGTAACAGCCTCCCTTATTTGTACATCCAAAAGCCCTGAGACTGCTGCTGGGCGATCTTGAATGGGATGTTTTCAACCCCAGCAGACTCAGAACTGTCACTCAAGTGACACTCTATCTAAAGTATTCTCCTTTGCTCCTCCTCTGGCAGATACATAAAAAGTAGGTTAGGGGAGGGGCAAAAGAGTTTGGCCAGCACAGACAGTAGCCAGATACTCCAAAAAGAGGAGAGGGCTATGACATGCAAGGAGAGGGTTGTGCTAGGGACAGGGCCATCTTTAACGCAGGGCAAAGGGGGCAGCTGCCTAGGGCCCAATCATTGTTATTGGGCCCAAAGCAGGTCCTGTGCTGCAAAACTCCTACCACTGGCCTTGCCTTTCAGCACTGACAGCAGAAATATGCACCTACACCTGTGTACACAATAATTCTTGCACCGGCCCTGCCCTTGAGCACGCAAAAGATACCGCCACTCTTCTGTTTACTGTGTGATCGGTATTGCATAGTGTTGCTCCGCCCCTGTCGTTAGGCGTAGGCATGCTCGAAATTGCATGGTAGGGGGGTGTTTTGTGGGGGGCGGGTTGATTAGGGGTCAGTGTGGGTAGGAGTGGGGGGCCCAAGAAAATGTTTGCCCAGGGTCCAATCAGCATTAAAGACGGCCCTGGCTAGGGAATTAGTTCTTGTGAAACAGTCACATTTGCTAGCAAGATTAGAGGAAAATTGCACGTCAATAGAAATAATTAAATGAAAGGAAAATTGCTGGATGTAAGCATTCAAATTACTTGATTATTTTTCTTCTTTTACCTGTAATCTTTTAGGTTGGTGACAGGGTGTATTTAACGTGACAGGCTGCAGGCACTGAGGTTGCAGAGTTAAGTGGAGAACACGTTCATTAGAAGTGAATTGGACCTTTTAGTATGGTAAAGTAAACTTGTGTAAAGAAGCTATAATCAACAAAATGCATTACTGCTACATGTGATTGGACGCTTGTGTTCATGTTACTGCATTCAGTAACTGAGATTCAGTTAGATAAAAGATAGAGAACTGTCTGTGTTTGATCTCTATAACATCTACCCTGTGGTGACTTCCTTGGTCACATGCAGACTGGTAGCTTGTTCCTTTTGTATAGGACAAAGGAAGTAATCCCAATCAAGATATTTTTAAATGAGTCTGAAGATCCCTGTGACTGAACCAGTGGGTTCTTTTTTTTTAACAAAAAAATATATGAATGCATGCTGAATATTTACATGCATGTGATCTCATTCACAAGTGACAGGGTCTCTTTAAAGAGTATGATTGGACAAAAATAAATAAATAATAAAACATATGCAACACATCTTTGCCAAATATGCACATTATGCCATGGTTCATCGCTTTAAAAACACTGCACATACAGGAAAATACCTGTTAATATGCCAGAAATCCAGCGTGCTCCTAACTTCCCACTTGAGATTAAAACACATTGCTCCACACTTATATCAAAGCAGTGTTGTAAACCCTGCCCAACTCTCTGCTTGTGGACTACAGAATGCCTTCCCATCTCCTCATCCTTTTAACAGAAGGCAGAAGTGTCCAATAGTCAAACAGGAAAGAACTAGGCAGAGTTAGAATTTTAGTGCACCAAATGCAAATTGAACAGGAAATTACGAGCACACTGGATTTCTGGCAGATAAACTGGTATTTTTCTGTACTTGTAATGTTTTTAAAAGTATGTATAGGGCAGGGGTAGGCAACCTCGGCTCTCCAGCTGTGCTGAAACTACAAATCCCATAAGGCATTGCAAGTCATGACTTCCAGAGTCAGAAGCATAGTCAGAAGCATGATGGGATTTGTAGTTTCAGCACAGCTGGAGAGCGAAGGTTGCCTGTATTGCAGAGATGTATTGCGTATGATTTTTTAATTTATCTTACTCAGACAGAGGGATTCTGTAGTGCTGACTTCTATTATAATGTATTGCTGTATGATGATTATACAGCAAAGCAGAATAGCTCCAATTTTGTAGGACTACAAGTCCCAGCAATGCATTATAGTGGGGCGGGGATGCTGGTGTATTGGTATTCTGCATACCTGACTTTTAATATAATGTATTGCTGGGACTTGTAGTCCACCATAGCTGGTGGTATTCTGCATTGATGTATGATGATTATACAGCAATGTAGAATAGCTCCAACTATGTAGGAGTACAAGTCCCAGCAATGCATTATGTTTTTAAGTAGGGATACACCAGTGTTAATACTGGGCATTTTCACGAGTACTCACACTCGTGAAAATGCCTCGATACTAAACGCAGATACCGGTGTTCTGTCGAGAACGCCGATGTAGTCGAATTTGCCGACCTCAGACCGGTATTATTGAAGGAATCGGGATTTATTGAGAAACTATTTAGTTTAAATTGTTAATTGTGACCGTTAATAATATGCCACCCATCATTCACTGCCATGGACGGTATATTATTAACGGTCACAGTTAACCATTAGAAACGAATACTTTGTAAATACAGTAAATGTCGGTTTCCTCGGTAATCCCGTCTGTACGCAAGCACAGATACAGGGTCGGGTGTTCTCGACAGAACACTGCACTAAAATTTTAAACAAGCGGCTGCCCGAGGTCCCGCTCTTGCTGGGAACCTCGACAGCCTTCCTGTTAACCACGCGGTGCCATGGCGGTTGGGGGGGGGGGGGAGAGCATTCATGGTTTCATGCACTGGGGCCCTGAAGGTTCTACAGTAGTTACGCCTCTGCTCTTTATAATTACCATGGAATATGTTTTAGCTAGCTGTATGGTCCTGTGTGATTGTATGTTCCTGTGTGAGAATAATGCCCACATTATATTGCATAGCTGTGAGAAGGGCCTTAAAGGAGAACTATGAGGTAAGTGCTTTTCACTCACCTCATAGTTCTAGCCGACCTGTGACAATGAGACTGTCACAGGTCGGCTCAGTAGATCGGAAGGTGAGCGAACATATACCGGCGTTCGCTCACCTCTCGATCCTGTCACTGCTCTCTGCGCTGACTGGCGGAACAAACGGGGGAGGGTACAGCTGGCTCTGCCTCTCTGTCACTCACGCATCTGGGCGGATGTCGGGATCCGCTCCGGCTGCGGCATCTCAGTATACCGCGAACTGTAGCTCGCGGTATACTGAACTTAGGGTAACAGGAGGACGCTAGTTTGTGTCCTCCCGTTACCTTAAGGAGAACTATGGGGAAAAGCCCTGACCCCATAGTTCTCCTTTAAAACATACTTACACCACCATCTGCACACAGTAACACAGCAGCTTCCTTGGAAACTTGTCACATACTAACCAATAAAATCTTGTAGGAGTTCCAACTGACATTAAATTATACAAAACTGGAGCAAAGAGAACTTGAGCAAACCTGAAGCAGTTGCTGTTAAACCAGATTTCCCACTTTTGAAAGATGGAACCTATCGGCAGCTGCAACAGTCCTGCTACACTTTTCCTCATTCCAGTTTTTGTAAGCTGACCCAATAGCTCTGGTACATTAGGCAAAGTTGGTTGTCAGTCATTATAATCATTCTATAATCGTATGGCATACTTCAGCTTTGTACCTGTTCAACTGGATGAAATATTCATATTCTCTGGCAGGGTTGATACTTGAAATGGCACTAACTATTTCCTTGTGAACAGCTGCTATTTCCTCTTGCACCAGACTTGTAATATCATGGTATTCTTGCATAATGGTTTTGCTGCAGAGAAACAAATAAAGTGAGACACGCCAACTTCTGCTGTTTTGTACCAGGGTGCATACAGTATATGTGCCCAAAGCTACACTATACTGTACATCCAGATTACATTAAAATGCACCTCCTCCCATATGGACATTGAACAATTTGCATATTCTTAACAAACAGTTAAAGAGCTTTAAAGAAGAACTCCAGGAATTAGCAACGTCATTGGGTGGCCACTGTCGATGCAACTCCTGCGCAAGTGCACAGGAGTTACATCCTCCCTGACAGCTGGCACATTCATGACTTCTTAGAGATATTGTGAATGGGCCGAATGCATACAATACTTCAGCTGCAGTCACTGACATTAATGCCTATATAGATTGATATCTTTCAAAAAAATGTTTTGCACAAAGTTAATCTATACATCCAAAGGTATTTTCATAAAAGGCAAAGTTTGCCTTACATTCCAGAGACAGAACATGAATAAGTTAGTCTGCAGAGTGATAAGATAAAATCACTCTAGCTATAAAGAAATGCTTTGGGTTAGTTTTGTTTTGGTTTCCACATACAGGGTCACCACCATCTTTTCATGGAGGCACTGCAATGATTCATGCAGGTTGGGCAGGCTCAAAGTGTGGTGGTGCTCGTTGTGCAGTCTGGCTGCCTTGATGGCCAAGATATATTGATTGTGGAGTGTGTGGAGCTTCCAGGTGTTCTTCACATATTTCTCCTTTGCTTTGTCACGATCCTTGTCTGAAAAAGACCAAAACACATATAACATGTACCTGTTTTTTCATAAAAGAAAGCACGGAGCTGTAGGCTGTGATTTTTAAAGTGCAGTAAACCAGAGCTACAGTTAAACCAAAGAAAATATGGACTTGCTATGGGTAACTAAACTCACTATGTTTTAAGAAGGGTTGAAGAGTTAGTAGCACGATCCCAGGACAGGTACCCACAATTTATGGTGACATGGAAATCATGGATAGAGTCTGACATCACTACCATGTGCTTACCAGGAATGTGAGGCTCACTTGCATGGCCATTGGAGGAGGGGAGAGGATTGAGGGAAGGAGGAGATGAGACTGTGACTTTTTTTTTCTTCTTTTCAATTCATCTTGTTTTTTTTTTTTTGGGTGGTTTAGGGATGGGAGGGATTTTGGGTTGTAGTTTTCCTTGCTTTTTTTTTAGTTGAGACCCCTAGGGGGGAAGAATGGTTTAAATACCAATGGGAAGGGAAATTTATGGTGGCTGTTTTAGGAAGAAGTTATGAATATCTTTCTCTTCTGTTTCTGAATGGAATTCTCCCTGGGAGAGTCTTTTAACAGGATGTTTACATGCTTATATGTTTGTATTGTTATATATAGAAACAATATAGAAATATTATACAAAAAAAAAAAAAACTAAACTCACTATGCATTGGTCTTTGCTTTAATAAGTAGGTCAAGCATATTCATATATTTAGTGGAGTAAATTAAGTAAAAAAATGTACTCCAATGACCAATATACAGCAACAGGGACAATTATAAAGGTGAAATAATTTTAGGAACTATGGATCTATACATCTGTGTGTGTTTCTGTATCATAAAATCATGCCCAACTGTGTCTGGAAGGCTAGGGCTAAACAAGCAATGAAATCTCTGGCTACTGAGAGATTTAACTGTGTTGCCCATCAGCTCATTAGCCACATATTGATTGTGTGCAGCAAATTAGGTTACTGCCAACAAGCTGTTGAAGTGGAAGTAGACCTTAAAAAATGCTCCCCAGGAGAAGCTGTAGACTGATGAGCTCATCTCTAAAGGTGCCCATACACCTTACGATTATCGGACGAAACTTTTCGTCCGATGATCGAACCGTCGTACGATTTTCGTATGACGGCTCCATCCTGCCCCAATTATCGAAAGGTTCAATCAGCGGTAGGTTAAAAAAAACACCTGGACGACTTGCGGTAATTGACCGCAATTATTTTCGTTTGGGCATGCGCAGTGTTAATCGTACGACTTTTGACGGACGGAAACGCCACCAACCATGCGAACATCGTACGATCGACCAAAGTTTTCAAGCATGCTTATTTATATATTAATGAATATTACCTTTAATTATATATTAATGAATACAGAGCTGCATGACAGCCCAACTCCAACCAAGAAGTGTGATTTTGGTTTGGATAGATCAGGAAGGTTAGGAGAGTCTGTCAGGTTTTTATTGCCTCTTTTGCCCCTATTGGGGAGATTTACACTCTCTTTTTGGCAGCACAGGAAGTTATGGGAAATGTCTCGAATAGAAACACTGATAATAGCAAAAATGTATTTTTAGTAAAGTGGGAAGAATTAGATAATTTGACAGTATTTTTTATTGTTGTCCGTGTCTTTCTGTCCCAGTGCCAACCGATCCCCCCATTTCTTATACAGCTGTCACAGGGATAAGTGAGGGAAATTGTACCCGATGGTGTCACAGACAGAAATAAATTGTAGCACTTCAACACTATCCAAAAATAAAAAAAAATGATTTTGGCTAGAGTTAAGCTTTATTTGAGTCTTTATATTTGCCTGGAATTCAGCTTTACAGCTCTCAGTAGTAGAGATTTTTGCAAGTGTGAGAAAGAAGCTCTGTGCCTTATTGTTCGGACAGACTTGATAAGAGGCATTGAGCAGAATGGAGCACATCCTAGGCCTCTCTGAATCAGATAATACAGCAATTCTACTTTTCTGTCAAGAACCTTATGATTTATATGATGTTCACAAGAATGGAGAAGGTAGATTTAGACGGTGGAGCTATCGCTTGGTAAGCACACAGCAAAAAGTCTCTTGTACTGCACCAGATGTACTGCAGATGTGCAGCAATGGTGGCAGGATGCCACGTTACACATTAAAGGATAGAAACCTCCTAGAAAAATATATAAAGTGTAACAGCTGAAAGAGGTAAAACTAAATTGTTAGAACATATTCTTAAGTGACTTCTGAAGAACTTTACTATTTGCAGGAATATGAGTATGCACCTTGGAGACAAGGTAGAAAAGCTGGCATTTTTAGCATGCATTTCCTCAAACCCCAGAGAGTTCTCATTATCATTCTGTGCAGGTTTGTGCTTTAACGATAAGGATCTGGTGTTTTAATATGCAGGAAGAGGCATATAGAAATCCTTATGTCTTTCTCCTATGCTTCCATTTACGTATATTTTTTAAAGGCCAGCTCCAACCAGAACAAGAAATTATTTCGAATCACCACAACTGGCCTACAGAAGCCTGTGAGTCTTACCGGTTGCTATTAAAATTGACTCATGGATTTTTCTACTTCCCTACAGCTAGTGCTAATACTGCTACTAATAAATGAGGGGTCAGCCTGCTATAATCACAAGTACAAAAATTAAACTAAAAGCGGTGAACAAATGACGTGATGAGTGGGAAATTACATTTCTCAGCGCTTTCCACATGCAAACCAACATCCTCTGTGTTCCTATGGTTACAAAGAAGCTAAGGTTCTTTAAATTGATGCGGCTTTAAAAATCGGAAGACTAAATATTGACACAGAAAGGTAATTGATAATAACAGTAAATTAAAATGGCCTTTATAGAAATTTAGAAATAATAGGTTTTACCATGCTTTTAGTGAAAGTGACTTACACTATGCCAAGCTGGAACAATGTAAGTATACATTTTTTATTATTAAAGCTTGAGTTCTGTAATAATGAAATAAAGAATGTTTGTGACAATACTTTCTTTAGCACAAAAAGCTATATACACCCTATTATAAAAATATGCTATATGGACAATATCACAATAAATATACGAACATTGAAAAGGCAATAAAGAGATATCAGGGGTTATGATAATTTAAATAGACTATGTGAAGGAGAAACTGGTGCCTGGAAAGTATGAAATACTGGCTTTGGTAGAATTATAAGTAGGGATGTCCAGATGCCAGCTCAGATACCAGTGCCAATACTTGGCATTTTAACGAGAACTATCAGAGTTGCAGCTGGGACGTAGCTCTGGCGCTCCACCACTGTCCTGAAATCATTAGTCTGTATTGTTTTAGAAAAACTGTCACATGACAATAAACAAAAATGTATCAGTACTTGTATCTGTGAGTACTGATCAGTACTTGTACTTGAAAAAATGGTATTGGCGCATCCCTAATATATATTTATAAAAAAAACATATCATACATTAAAACAGGGATGGACAAATCCCAGGAGCCCTGTATGCTCCTTAAATATGACAGCTGCCTCCTAACTTTTGCATTTTTCTCTAGTCTAGTCTTGGAGCTGGAAAAGTATCTGTACTTGTACCGAGTGCGGTACTTGGTATCTGAAGATCCCTAGATATAAGGTTGAATTCAGTGGGTTCTGGACATCTGAACAAAATCAAAGTGATAAAAGTATTATGTAAGATGAAATAATTTGGAATGTCACAATGACAATGATGTACCTTAAACAATATTAGAGGTAAAGGGCCAATTATAGAGATGCTACTGGGAGAACAATTAGTAAAATAACCAAGAAATATCAACTCAAACGTGCAGTACCCAACAGGCACTTCACTCACCTTTACTTGCATCCAGGTACTTTCTTTTGGCTTGTAACGTATCTTTTACTTTAGTGCGGTACTGACTCTTCAGATTTTCTATCTCCTGTTGTGTTGTCTAATGTGTAACGATAAAAAAAATTTTTTTCATATACATGGAATATATTTCATCTACCTAAATACCTAAATGTTTAAGTCAAGGTAACATAGTAACGTAGCTGGTAAGGTTGAATAAGGACATAGGTCCATCCTTTTCAACCTATAAGGTCATCAGAAAACATCATGGATGCCATGAATCAATAAAATGACTGACACATGGTAAAATTACATACATAATGCAATGTCAAATTTAGAATTAAGATTTCATATTTCTGTTAGGTCCAAAGATTTGTTGAGTCTGTCTAGGACCACTGAGAACTAGCTACTATGTATCACATGCATGCATAGCATATATTTCTGTTAAATGCATAAAACATTCTGTAACTCTGGGCAAACAGCTAAACACAAAGAGCTAATGTACTGTATATGTAGAGAGTAGGGTAGAGGAAACAGTGCCGCCAGACATGAGAGCGATGCCACCCTCTGCAGGCTCTGCTTCTTCCCACCCAGCTCTAAGCAACTGGTGACTCCTTGGCTGGTATCCCTCCCAGTTCCTGGCAACCAGTGACACCAGCCAGAGCATCCCCGGTTGCTAAGAGCTGGGTGGGGAAATATGTATGGCTTTTACATACCTCCCCACCGGCTCTTAACAACCTGGGACGCATGGGCCGGAAAGGGTGCAGCAGTCACACTGCAAACATTGTGCAGCAGAGTGGCCAGAATTTAACAATAA